GGGACACACATCTGTGTATCTCCATGATGCCAGCTGTGGTGTTTTAGAGATTCAGGTTTATAAGTACATATATATATATATATATGTATATGTATATATGACACACACACATCCATTTAATGAATGACCACCACTAAGAACACCCCACTCCTTTCATCATAATTATCAATTGCCAGGTTGCAATAGAAAGTTTCATCAAAAACTAGTTCAAAAGGCTAAATGTATCATCTGATGTCTTCCCCCAAAAATTAGCATCAGACCACATTTGAATTTCTATAAATCTTCTGCTAATTTAAATGGCTTTAGAATTAATTAAAAATGTTTTTCAATCGATAATAATGTAACTCAGATAATTAGCATCAAGTAGCATCTAGAGGACATATTTAAAAAACTAATCTAGAGTATAAATAGACTTAATTAACAATTAGAATAACACTTTATAATTACACTTTGTTTATAAATGCTAGAATGTCCGATTCATTGTTCAACGAAATTGGTCATTAATGAAAATCAAAGTTATTTTTCCCTGATGTCTCCATGAAGATGTCTCTAGGATGCACTGGCTTTTATGTTGCCTATTTTCTTGGTGATTTTTTAAAGACCACTCCTGCCCCATATTTGACAACTTTGTTCTGCAATTAAGCTGAACAATATCATGCCTTATCTTGCATACTAACTTAGACCTTTTTGGTAATTAAACAGATGGGCCTGACTACAAACCTGAATTCTCTTATGTCTGACCTAAAGAGATAACTTTGCAGTACGGAAATCCCAAGGGTGGCAAAGACACCAGGACCATAAAAAGAGAGACAGGGCCTGGTACTTGCAGGGAAGCAAAGAAACTAGAGGACCTGGGTGCCAGGAGACTAGGAGAATGACAGTCCCTATCAGCAGAGTTAGGAGGTGGGCTCTGGAGAGGCAGGGAGTTTGCTGGAGGACACCCGGGCTCAGCTGCACAAGGAGGAGTGCTGGAACGACCTCTATTCAGAAAAGTGCAGGCTATTTGCTGAGAATTTAGAATTCGAAGTGAGAAGGCAGTTCAGAGCAAATACTGACTTAGTGTCATCTGAAAAGAAGCAAATGTTGAAGCCGTATGTAAGAGTGGGATTTCCCACAGAAATGTGAGCAAGACAAACAAGGACTGAGCCTGGAGGGAGTCTACACCCGATGCAAAGGGTGAGTCTAGGTTACTTACGAGGTGAAAGAAGGGAGGGAAGCAGAGGAAAAGTCAGAGATCTGGGAGGACTGCAGGAACAGTGGAGTATCTAGAAGCCAGGAAGGGAGGAACAGCTGGAAAACAGGTGCCTGGTTCTCCTTCCCTCCCCTCGTGGTGCCAGTGTGCTATGGAGCTCGGGGAAGATTCCTAAGATAGAAGTCACGTGGGTAGTGGGAAGACTGCCTAGATTCAGATCGTGACTCCACCGGTTTCTCTCTGTGGAACTTTGGGCAAGTTTCACATCACTCTGTGCCTCAGTTTGTCCCTCTGTACATCAAGGTGATAAGCCAGGGCCCTCCTACCCAATGTCTTTATTCACGGCGATTAGTTTAGCATTTTGCACAGAGAAAACCCTTAACATGTGTTAGCTATATTTATACTGTGGCTTTTCTGGAGCAAAGTGATAAAAGCTGAGCCTGAGCTCAACTGAAAGCTACCAGCAAAGCTGGGACAAAGCTGGGAGGGTCTTAGGTCAGTGGCTCTCAGGCGTGTGCATACATCAGAGTCACCTGGAAGGCTTGTTCAAGGACAGCTTGCTGAGCCCCTGAGTTTCTCCTTCAGTAGGTCTGGGTGGGGCTTGAGAATTTGCAAAACTAACGAGTAGACTAGAGCTGATGCTCCCCATTCAGGGACTCACACTTTCAGAACCAGTGTCTTAGTGAGTAGAGGAAGAGACCCTATAATTTTGGGAATTCAGCCCAGGCCTTCAACCCCTCCATCACGTAAATCCTTTTTGAGAACACACATTCTAGCAAGACCAGCTTCATGTGTACCTGGGTGAAGTGGGTGGTGTCATATTTCTTGGCAGTTAAAGGCTCTTCCTCTTCTGGCCCTTCCTATGTCCAGGAAATCCACTAGTCCAAACTTAACTGAAAAATGAATACTTCCACAGGTCCTCTGCCAATTTCTCTCAGAGTACCTTCTTAAGTGAACATACAGGGTTGGGTAAAATTTTAGAATGTGATGGGTGCCCTGAAGCCCAAGTGGACCAACAGAAACCATCCCCAACATGATGGTTAGCATCTACCGAGGGCTTCCTGTGTACCACCACTCTGCTATTTGCTCTCCATACACTGTGCCATCCAGTTCTCCCAACTACTGTGGCAGCCAGGCATTCTTTTCTTTCCTTTTTTTTTTTTTTAAGATTTTATTTATTTGAGAGAGAGAGTGTACACAAGCGGGGGAGACAGGCAAGAGGAGAGGGAGAAGAAGACTCCCTGCTGACAGGGTACCCCATGTGGGGCTTGATCCCGGATCCCAGGACCCCGGGATCATGACCTGAGCTGAAGGTAGATGCTTAACCCACTGAGCCATCCAGGCGCCCCAACAGCCAAGCATTCTTATACTATGTCACAGAGTAGAAGGATGCCTAGTAGGGTGAAACGACATCCTAAGGCCCGGGCTGATGAATGACAGAAACCAGAATTATTGGCCAGTGTCAACTCTACAACCTGTGCTCTCAGCCACTCAGCTACGTGGCTCTTGCCTGTTCTCTTTTCCTCAGGAAAGATGTGCATATATGACAGATCAGCAATAATGGCCAGCCTATATTTATCCCCTCCCATATCTCTTCCCAGATAAAAATTTCCAGAGAGTTGAACCTTCTTTATGAAGCATGGCTTCTAGTCCCTTTGTCATTCTATTCAGGGTCCTTTGAGTGTGCACGAGGAAGTCACCTTCCTGAAAACTGAATAGATGGGTGTGGTTATCCAGAGAAGAATGTAAACAACTGAGTTAAGCTACTATATGCTGAAGGCATTATCTTCAGGCTTATTCCTTATTATTTTCTACTGCTATACCTACTCAACTATCAATAGAAATAACTGATTAATTAACATATGTTTCTTGTTATATTCATTCATTCTTCCACTCTCCATTTTGTTCCACCCTCTTTGTTTTATATGTGTGGAAACTAAGGCTTAGAGAGAAAAACAGACTTGGGTAGGGTCACTCAGATCCTCAAGGTGTGAGCAAGGATTCAAATCCAGCTACGTTAGACTCGACCATGAAATATGCATCCAGATTCAAACCTCCCAAGAGTTTGCTCAGTCTGATGACTCAAAAAGACAAACTTCTCATTAAGCTGAAAATGAAATTGCCTAAACTTCTCGTTCCACACCATATGGCTGAATCCCAGCTGACAGGAAGCTCATTTCTGCAACACACCAGGCTCATTTCACTGAGTAGGTTGATGTGAGATTTGTGGGGTGGTCATTTCCTAATCTTTCTAGCATTGATAGCAGCAGTGGTATTCATTATGATGCTTGCTTTCTACATTTTAACATAAAAAAGCAAATGTTCCTAATGATGGAGACAGATTTTGTCCTGAATTGTTCTCTAAGTAAAATATCACAAGCAGACACAATGACAACAACAACAAAAATATCCACCTGCCTTCAAGTGACCAAAAACTACAATAATCTTCCAGTCCTTAGTCTATTGAACAGTGGGGATGGGGGGGGAGGGAGAGAGTTCTTAAATGATACCATCCTGGAGTTTTTTACACAAAGATTAAGCTGAAGTATTTGGATATCTAAAATGATCTTGAATCTTTCCAAAGATTCAGATTTTAACGAAGCGAGGTGACTCACGAAGTGTGGATAACTAACGGGAAGTGCTCAGATCATTTGTACAGAATGATCTGAGCATGAGATACCATCACGTTTTCCCCTGGGCAATTATTCTACAGCCAGTATAGCAAAGTATTCTGGAACAAAAGGAGAGCCTGAAGTTTTTGCGTTTGTTTCCCCCACTGCCCCCCAAAACCTAGAACTAATATGGAAAGTGCCATTTCTACACATAATAGAGAAAGACATTAAGTGTTAAGGGTTGGCCATGGTCTGAGAACGTATTTATGTGCATTTAGATGCACTGAGGCTAGAGTTCATGGGTAAGGATTTGAATAGTCCTACCACTGGCCCTTGATCTTGGACAAGTTTCTTCACCTCTTCAAACCTTCGTTTACTCATCTGAAAAATGGGACAAATTTGAGGAGGTAGCAAAGTATAGTGCTCTAAAGTGAAACATGCCAAATTCAAAATACCTGGCTGATACAACATGAACTCATTTAACCCTAGGGACCACTTGAGATGGTAGATGTTCTTAGCTCAACCGAGCAGGAAAGAAAACTGGCTCAGTGAGGTCAGTACCTTGCCCAAAGTCACACAACTAATGGGTGACAGAGCAGGGATAAGTGACAGATTAGCTCCAGCACCAGGACTCCTAAACCACCATACTAGAGCATTTCAGCATACAGCCACAGAAGACTACTTTGTTGTGTGCTCAAATCCAAGGAGTCCATCAGTGGCACCATAGATATTCCTGCACATGTTTTCACAAATAAATTCTTGGGCCCTTCCACCAGAGCTTTTAATTCAGTGAGTCATGGTTGGATCTGTGAACCTAAACTTTTCAGAAGTTCCCTAAGTGATTCTTCATTTACAACCAGGTTTAGGAATCTCTGAATCATGTATATAAGTCTTGACTGCTTCTACCAAGAGTGCCAGTCTGTGAGGATAGGATGTGCTCCGTTATACTTCTTGGCATGAATATGCATCCCTACCTGAAGCTCAGTGTTGACAGTCATGCCACAAAAACTCATTACTTGAGACATTTTCATGGGGCTGGGGGGGCAGGTTCTGAGGTAGGCCGTGGGGGAGTTCATCTACCTTGCTTAAGAGAATCCAGGTAATAGACCTAAATCTCTCTTCTAGGCACCATTTCATTTTTCCTCTAAAATGTATACATTGGCATCAAACCAATTAGATGATTAAAGTTTCCTTACCTAAAACTCTTAATCTCTCAGCTCCTACCACCACTTCATGGTTATCTGCAGAGAAGAGCAATTTTCCAGAAACTGTCTTTACTTCAAACTTTTTGCCATAAGCTTCTACAGCTTTTGGACCTAGAAGGGAGAGAGAAAGGGAGGGAGAGAGAGAGGTTAGTCTCATTGCATTCATTTACAAAGAGCTTTTCGCAGAACATACACATCTGACTAGTTTGTATTGGACTTTAATGTAAGTGGATTGGTTTTCAGAAGCCAACCGTGAAAATCAGTCTTGTGACTCTGGCCATGTCTTGTCAATTACTTTTAATCATATGCTCTTGGGCTATGATTTTAAAGACCATCATGTGCCTTCTTCAGACTAATGCTTGTATGAGATTTCCCTTAGCTAGCCACCAAATTACTGTCAAATACTTGTAGACTTTGGCTTGAACATATCAAGGCACAGAAAGTTCACCACCTCTTGAAGTAATCAGTGTATCTTTGACCAGCTCTAACTGTTGGAAAGGGTGCCTTTAAATTCAGCTGAAGTCTGTCTCACTCTGTATCCTTAACCCAGTGGCTGCATGTGACACCAGACAAGTCTATTTCCTCAGTATATAGATCATTTCCTGGCAGAAAAGGGTATCATAAATTGCAATTAATTGCTAGAAAGTTGTTGAATCTTCTATGCTAGAATTTCATTCAATAAATTTTAGAGGGTTTATCATATGACAACAGATGCTATCCTTGAAGGGGGGCTATCGTGGTGGCATCTTCTGATGGAGACAGATGTAAGTTTAAACACCAATGAATCAGAAAATTGCAGAGTTTTGCGTACCATGGAAAAAATAAAACAAGTTAATATGTTAGAATTCCTTTTTAAAACAACAACAACAACAACAGGAGACATTTCAGTTTCTCTGAACTAGAACTACCTGAATACCTCAAGTTCAGGTGGCTCTCAAAATCTGCTCTGCAGAAATGCATCAGAATAACCTGCGGGTGTAATCATCCTCACAGAACCTCACTCAGAGCAAAAGGAATTTATCTTTTGGGCTGAAAATTCATAAAGAAAAAAAGTTTTGAGGTTAGAGTCTAGAAATCTTATATTTTTCCAAAACTGCTCAGGGGATTCTGATGGAGCATTTTTGTTTCTAGTTATTTTTCAAGACAGTGTCACTTAACTACAAAAAGTAGTAATGAAAGGGCCCTCAATGCCTTCCAGGCAAAGACCAATGGGAACATACGTGTAGGTGAACAAGTTGGGTTTGTTATTCATTGCTGTGATGGAGAACACACACCATGGGCAACCACACAGGGCATCTCAGTAAGAAATACAGTATTTGGTTTTATGTTAGGTTATTTTGGGACTTGGTTTCAGGAAGCAAGGCTTTGCTCTGGATTAGGTGCTATTGGAAAGTGGGAGTGATTTTACAACTGGCATGTTACTATATCTTCCCTAGAGGTAGGGAAGACCAGAGTAATGCTAAGACTGTAAAGCCTAATGAAACAGCAGTCACTGATATTAACCAGGATTGAGGGATGTTCAGTCATTTTAGTGGTTTGGATAAATGTTTCCATTTTTGTCTGTATTCAGACATGGTTAGAGTTGTCTTCGTTTTTTGTTTTGTATTGATCCTTCAGGACCAACTGAGTGGCCTCGTCTGGTGTTGATGTTCGGCAAAATTATTTATGTTCAAACAGAAGAGCACAGAGGCTTGGCTTATGGTGCCAGGCCTACTCCTGTACATCCAGGGCTGTTGTCCTCATTGGCAAGACCACCAGACTAAGAATCAGAAGAACTATATCCCAACTTTCACATTCTCTAGAAATGTGACTTTGGGAAAATCCTTTAGTCTTTCTGAACCTCATTTTCTGCATCTGTAGAAGTGTACTATCACCATCTATCTATTCTGTTACCTTGTAGAAAGGTTAAAAGGATCAAATTATTCTACGTTTATAGAAAGAACTTTGTAGGTGGAAAAGTGGTGTGAAATGTAGGGGACTGCTCTCGTGATTATCATCACTGTGATCACAACCCATCACCATTTTTCTAATGCAATGGTCCCAACACATTGAAAATAATTAATGACAATCACCTCTCAGTGCACTTGCCTCATTCACATAATCATGCCAATTTGGCAGCCCTCATCTCCTCCTCTGACAAAAGGAAGGGCATTGGAAAGGCTTCTGAATGAGTGGGAAATTGAAACAGACATAGCAGAGACTTTCCAAATGGCCTGGGACCTAGCCATGACTGCCTTCATGCTCTAGGTGAGAACAACAAGTGGGAGCAGAGCTAAGGGCTCTCTCAAGGTCAACAGCTCAGCTACTGGAAGATCTGGGTCTGGAACTAAGCTCTCAGAATTGTTCCATAGAAGAACAGGGATGTGTATTTGTCTAGAGAGAGAAGAGGGTTGGAGTCAACGCATGAGGAGCAGCTAGGAGGGGAGCTTTAGAGGATGGTGAGGGGGAGTGGAAAGCTGGAGATAAGGACCAGAGTGCAGTCCTGAAAGAACAGAGATGGACAGTGAGGGCTTTGGATTAGACGATTCTGGGAGGGCTCAGATGTGGCTGTCTTCTTGATCACACCAAAACTGTAAGTGAAATCTATACTACTTGTTAATATACTGGGATTGTTAACCCTTTTTTTTAGAGGGGGGAGACTGGGGATCAGGAAGTGAAGGAGTGTTAATAAATGAATGAATGACCTCAGGATAGGCATGGGGTGAGTACTGTTTGCCACTCTGGATCTAGTCAATGGCATAATGGGGGTATGACTGGGGACCAAAAAAAACTTGGCCTCTGCCTCCATGGACCTAAGCAGTATCATGAGATAAGGCCCTTGAGGAGTCGAGAACACCTGCCTGGGTAAAGCCAGTCTGCTCTGAACTTATGACTGTTTTGTGAGACATGCAAGAGAATGTCCTAAAGACACCAAAGCAATCAGAGAACTCAAAACACAATTAAGTTATCTTGCTTTCCAGGGCTCCTCAAAACACAAAAAGGAACCTACCAAGGGCCAGAGCCATTTGCACATACAAAGCTCTGTAGTTGGAAGTTTCAGCCAAAACCCCACAGAGCAACTGCCGGCTCAATGGTGCAGATGGCTTGTCCTTTTGTTGATTTTACCTGGGGCTGCCAAATGTCCTAGACATGGAAGAAAGAAAGAAAGAAAGAAAGAAAAGAAAGAAAGGAAGGAAGGAAGGAAGGAAGGAAGGAAGGAAGGAAGGAAGGAAGGAAGGAAGAAAAAGAAAGGAAAAGAAAAGAAAAAAAGAAAAAAAAGAAAGATTCTGGAGGGAAATGCAAATGGAACTGGAGACTGCTTAGGAGGTCCCTTGGTGAACCCATTGTTCTCTGGGATGGAAAAAATCATTACTTGTAACTTGCAACTACTCTCCAGTTAAGCTCCCTCGGTGCATGGTGGTATGTGCGGAGTACTTCTTTAAATCCTTAATGCATCTCCTACACAGGGAGAACTGGAACCCATCAGGACACACCAGCAGGGCCCCAGTCATGCCAATGCCATGAATCTGAGAGCTGAAAGGGGGCCATCCTGCCTAATTCCTCTCCCCCCAACCCCCTTGATCCTGAGACCCTTCCCTGCTCTGATGAGATGCCATGAAAGGCTCATTACAACCCTCCTCCATGCAGGCCGGAGGGCTTTCTCTATGGGCCACTACTGAGCGGGCACTAAATCAGCTGCAGGGGGGGGCCAGATGTGCTTTTGTGGCCTTGCCTGGCAACTTAACTATCACTGAAAGTCTTCTTCTGTGGGAAAAATTTACCTGGACTGCTAACACTGGAATTTCTACTGGGCTTTTGAGACATTCTTGAGGTCAGCAGAAGTCTTGATCCTCAGGATTGCCGGTGTCAGCCTGGCTACTTGGACGAGAGTGGTCATTTGCTCTGGGGTAGGCACACCACCAAGGAGAACAAGCTTTAGCAGACCCTGTCTTCCGGAACTGCTCTGTGCTTTCCACCACGTGCATAAATGCAAAAGGAGAAGCCTGAAGGAAAACCTGACAGGGTGAGCATGCATGCGTCTATGTACTTAGAATTATATTTTGAACCATCTATTACCCTCTCTAGTGATCATCTTGAAAGGCTCCTGTCAGCTGCTGTTAGAGTGGCTTTTTGCCCATCTCATTCTAATATGAGCTCTCTTGGGCCTCACTGTGAGAGCTCCGGAGAGGGGTCTCAGCTGCCGGCAGGGCCTAACTTAGGCAGGGGAGACAGGAAGAGAGAAGACAAGGAAGGAGGGGGAGAAGAGAGAATGGAAGAGAAAAAGGAGAGAAAGAGAGAGAGAGAGTGGAGAGATGGGGGAGAGAGAAGGAGGAGGAAAGACAGGGGCAGAGAGAAAGAAGAGAGAGGGGGTGGGGAGGGAAGGGGAAGAAGGATGGAACCGGAGGGTGGGGAGGGGAGGCAAGAGGAAGGGGTCAGGAATTTGGGGACAGGAGGGAGAGGAGGAGGTTGGGATGGGGTGGGGGAGAGACACTGACTGAAGAATAGTCATTCGGGCACTTCCAGCTTTATCAAAACAAAATCTCTCAAGTAAACCAAACCTCCCATGGCAAATAAATGGCAAATGATCAACAGACTAAATAAGTTCCTTTTGAACAGAGGAATCAGGGAACGGGAGGTTGGATTTATTTCCCTCCTGGAGGCAATTTTCACACACGCTGCTTAAATCACTGCTTACTGAAGCTGTTTATTTAATTATTTAGCGTGGTGACTGCAGGCCAGATGTCCTGTAAGCAAGGCCGACAATCCAGCTGCACACTGGAACATGTTAACGGATTAGGCGCCGCGCCGTGTGGTGGCTCCTTCCACCACTGGTAGACGGTCCAAGTCACCCCTGGCTGTGGCTCTCCAGACATCAGATGCAGTGCTCCCGCAGGGCACAGAGACCCTTTCCCCAGCAAGCCTCGGGGCACAAAGCACCTGTTTCCCCGTGGCGGGTTTATCAGTGGGGGCGCCAGATGTTTCAGTCACAGTAATGTTTCAGGGTATTTGGGCAACTGGCTTATCAAAATGTCCATCTGTATACTTCTCTCTCAGCCCTGAAGCCAAACAAATGGCATTTTCTCTCTGGAAGTGTAACAATGCTATTCAGACGCATACCGCTTTTCCCTTCCGCTGTGGGGATGCATAATGGCTCCTGTTTACTGTGGCTCATAACCTACACTGGGGGCATGGGTCAGACCACTCAACACATTTCCATGACCGTAAGGCCCAGGCTTATCATTATAATCATTACGTGAATAACCAATCCTTGTTTAAATTTTAGGAATATGCAGCTTAAAGCCCAGTGGGTGCTTTCCGCAACTGTTAGGAGCAGATCTGCTCAGATGAAAGGAACCACACAAACATAATCAAAGGAGGTACCTCTGCATTGTGCATTTGAGTCAGGTTCAAAGTCAGCACATATTGAAAACATGGCATGGATTCAAATTACCTTTAAAAATCCCCTTTACGCCCCATAAAGTCTGTGTGCAGGGTTTTGTGTATATTGTGCTCTCTCTCTCAATTAATCCAACCCAGCCAGCTTGTCCTCGAGCATGGGAGCAGAGAGCTTTTCTGTTGTTGAGCACCAGACGAAGCAGATGGCTTATGTTTAGGAGCCATGTTACATGAAAAATAGCTTATTGCCCCTCTAAATGAGTATTGTTGGATTTGCATAAGTTAAATGTGTGTGTGTATATGATGAGCCTTTACCCTTTAGTAGAATCATGGCACACATGCTACCTTCTTCTCCACCCTGTAAAACATGTCAGCGCGTCTTTCTTTCTTTAGGTCACGTGGTACTTCATTCAGTCTTTGGCTCTATGTTTTCTGAGTGCTTAGCGTGGACTGGGCCCTGCGAAGTCCTTTAGTTTCTTACCTGTGATGAGCTGAGTTAGCACTTTAGTCTGGTCATTGAGAATGTTCACTGTAACATTTCTGGCTGATTTGAAGTATAGGGCATTACCCTGTAATAAGAAAATAAGAGAAACACATGAAAATGGCAAATTTCAAAAAAATAACTGTAACCACAACTCTCCAAGGGGCTGAACTGGTCTTCACCAAGTGCTAATTGATGTGTCTTTATTTGAAAACTCCAAATGTCTTCATGATCCCCACATACATGATAATTGGCATTCATCCAAAACGGATTTCCTCCAAAGAGACCCACAGAGACCAACACGCACTCAAAATAGATTTCCCTAACACACACACACACACACACACACACACACACAGAGTGAATCAGAGGCAACCCAGCAACAAAGAGTCCTTTAGATCTTCCTACAGATGTAAGTTACCTTTGGTACATAGAATGATAAGGAATGATTGGTAATCTCCTAATTCCATACTTTCTAGTTTGTAATTTTTCCAAAGGAACCATGGAGTGTCCTAACTGGAGAGCAGAAAGCGTATGGAAAATACCCAAGGTCAGCCCCTCTGGCCTCTTCCCTGGCTGTGAGAATCCAGGTGCAATTCAGACCGAAATGTTCCCTGTGCCTTCATCCAATGTTTTCTTTGTCAAAAAGAGCACCCCAGTCGATATCACACTGTGGCAGGCATTTCTGAGAATGACTCAGAGGTTGGGGGGGAGCATACTTTTTCTACAAAGGGTCTGATAGTAAATATTTTGGGTTTTGTGGGATGTATGGTCTCTGCGGTAACTGCTCCACTTCTAACTGCTGTTTTGGTGCCAAACCATCACAGAATGTACACAGACAAATGGGTATGGCTGAATTCCAGTAAAACCTTATTCATGGACAGTGACATCTGAATTTCAAATAGTTTTAAATTTAACACAATCTTACTGTATTCTAGAATGTTCGTCTTCCTTCTTTCCCCTAATCATTTAAAAATGGAAAACTCTTCTTATTTCATTGGCCAAATGAGAACAGGTAGAGGAGCCAAATTTAGCCCATAGGCCACAGTTTGTCAACCCCTGACTTAGAAGTTCTCCCTGAATTGCTGCCAGAACACCTCAGTATCCGGATAGCTGTTATCAGAAGAAAGGAATGTGGGTAGTCATTCTCTTCTTTCTAAACCTTTGTTACCACATGACATTTATCTGCCCCAAAATTCTATAATACCACTAGGCACTGAGTCCCAAGCCCAGAGAAACCATTGTCCTAAGAGCGGTGTGGAAAGCAAAGATAAATAAGACTCCTTTTTATTTTTAAGGTCTTAGGATCTAATGGGATCAATAAGATGGACACACAAATAATACTAGACGGAGAACCATCCCGGGTGATTAAAGAGCCACAAACAAAGTGTGTAGGGAACTTTCCTGAAGGGTAAGATTATGCATAGCTTGAGGCTATGGAGTGGGAATCAAAGGAGATGTTTGTGAATGCTTCAGCTGAGCCTTAAAAAGAATATAAATAGGTTTCACCAAGATGAAATGAAAAAAGGAGGTCATGGAGGTAGGAAGGTTGTGGGATGAGCGTCTCATGTCTTTTTCCTTCTAAAGCTGGCAGGGCGTAGGAGGGGATTCGTGAGCTCAGCTGAGCAGCTGCATGTGGCAGAGTGGCTGGCTAGCAGGGACAGGGAGCCACCAGGATGGCATTCCTTCCATAAACTGAAAGTCTGGTGTCATGGTCTCCCCACCCAAGCCCCTGTGGGGGACTGCAGTGCATCAGGGGCTGCCCTGATGAGACAGAAGTCACCATCTCTCTCCCTGACACTAGGACAGTAGCTCTGGCCCAAGGTGAACTAAAACGCATAACCTATACCCATGTCCCGCCCAGGCCCTGGAGAACCAGATCCCCTCGGGCCAGAGCTGTTGTCCGAGTGTCAGGGAAAGAGACGGTGCCTTCTGTCTCATCAGGGCAGCTGCTGATTCACGGGAATCCCCTGCCATGGCTTCAAGTTAAAATTCTGCCTGATGGTAAACTTTCTGCTTTGTGTTTTAATTAGCTAAGAGAAAAAGAAATTTAATACTGTCACAGGCTTCTTCTGTCCATTACGTAACAAATATTAGCCTAAAATAGTTTCTTTGACATTGCTTTTGGCACTGTCAACAGTTCTACTTAAAACTGAAAATCAATTCAAGTAATGTAAGGATTCGGAACCTGGAACCCAGACAGGAGATTTTATGTTTCTAGAAGTTAACGTACTAATTCTTCTTATATTCAGCAAGCTGGCACTGCAGAGAGAAGGGCTATGTGGAGTGAGAGAATAGGATATATTCTGCTGTCACTGACCGGTGTGTGACCTTGAGCAAATCACTTAACTGCTCCGTGGGTCATTCTGCGCACTCTCCACCATCAACATGGATATGATCAGCGAGCTCGCGGCTGACACAACTGCGCACTCACTATGTGTTGCGTGTGCAACAGAAGCCCCGGAGTCAGCCTGCTTAGCTTACCATCCCTGCTCTACCACTTGCCAGTTGGGTGCCTTTAGGCAAATTAATAGTTCTAAGCCTCAGTTTCTTGATATGTATAATGGGACAAATATTATTGAATTATTAAAGTTCACATATTACTGAAATTACTAAATTCTCTCTATAATTATTAAAACACACGTGGTCCAGTGCCAGGCACACACTAAGTCCTCCAGCAGTTATGGGAAATGGGGGAGTTGGGGGAGGGGAGTAGTGACAGAGACAGGAGGAGGAGGAGGAAGGACAGGGAGGAAGGAGGAGGGGTGGAAGGAGGGAGGGAAAGATGGAGAGAAATGAGGAAGACCCCCTTGGCATTACCAATCTTCGCAACCCATCTGGGCACTGAGTCAGGGGCTTCTTCCATTTCCAGCAACTTCCATCTCCATATTTCAAAGGATCTCCCTCTATGTGGCTGGCTCACCATTATTTTTCAAATCCCAGTTTCTTCAAATGCTACTCGCTTGCCCTTAATACTATTCAAATAATTCCACAGCAGAAAAAAATCTCCCAACAGCTCTGCTCAAGGCTTATAGCAAGAGATATAAGAAAGGCACTCATCCCTTTTTATTGCTATGTCAAAATATTATAATTTACCATTAATTGTTCTAATATGCTAAAGTCCTGGGAAACACAGTCTTTGCTATGTCAGGGTTTAAACAAAAAGCCTCATTCGAGCCTGGGAAGTATTGCTGCAATCTTCCCATAGACCTTGATAACAAAAAGATTACCAGGTAAAATGCATGAAGCAGCTAACAGGCTCCGAAGGGCCTCTCATGGCAGCTGGTCAGTGTGACTTTTATTTGGCTGTCTCTGCTTACTAACACTAAACCAGGCATATACCAGCCAAATGAAGCATCCCTGGGGTCTTTGCAGTATTAGAACAAGTAAGGGAAATGCTCCCCTGTCTGTGTCCCTCCTACTCACTACTGCAGCCTCTGGGACAGGGGAGGTTAATTTCTGCCACAGAGGATTCTGCCCTAGGGCTGGTGAATTTCACTAACTGACCTCAATGCAACCATCTGAGGATGAGGATATGGGGCTTGCAGGGACCTGCTGGCAGATCAGTTCTGCAGGGCAGAAAGGAGTCTGGCAGACTCACGGCTTCTGATGAAGATCAGAGCTCTGGACCAGGTCAAGTCAGTCTGAGGCCAGTCAGCCCTCGATTCTTCTGGCCACAGGGTGAGCCTGACTGGGAGATGGGGAAGGGAAGCAAGCACCATTCTTCCCATACTGGGAGCGGAGGACAGTCCACATGGGTACTCTCCCCCAAATAACTAAAGCTCGCAGCAGAATCCCTTTCACATCTGTTTCTCTAAAGCAGAACAAAATCAAACCTTTTCTGGATCACTCAAGACCACTGACATTAACATTATTTGTTCTACAATGCCCTCCAGGGGCTATCGGAGGCACGTGGCTGCTTGAACACGAAATGGCTCCATCAGGCTGACATTTTAAAATTAGTGTGTCTTATTTTTTTTTAAAGTATTATTTATTTTTATATCAAAACAAGTATTAAACATTAAGTATTTATAAAGCTTCTAATCAAAAAGCAATGGCTCATACGTCTTACCACTGCAAGAGCTTTCAACTTGCCAGGATGTTCCTCCACGTGTTTCTCTCCCTGCGGCCCCGAATATGCTTCCACACTATCTCTTGATTTATCAACTTTAGATGTTATCCACTGAATTTCTGCAATGGTATAGACTCATCCTTACAACTTTGGTAAAATCAATATTCAGAATCTACATTACTATGATTATGTGTACACTGTCCACAGCTGTGCCAAGTAGTTTTCTTTAACTACATGTCCTTTGCTTTCTTGTACATTTTTTTTCTTTCCCTGGAGCCCATAAATGCTTCATTTAAAAAAAATGCTTTATTTTCTAAATTTTCTTTTTTCCCCTCCTACTGTTTAATCCTTTTTCTTTAATTTCTATTTTTGGGGTCATACTTTAAGTTCCAATTTTTCTGTTATTTTTAAAAATTTTGTACTATCATACTCTTAGTTTTCTAGAGCATTTTTTAATTTTTTTGACCCTTCATTTTTATGCCATCCCTTCCTTGTTTGATGGATGTGCTCTTCTGTCTTTCATGAGAATAAAAAAAGCTGGCTGGAAGCTCTGTGTTTCTAGATGGGTGAACCTTGCCATAGGGCACAGTAGTGGGGGTTTGGCTAACTCAGTGGAGAGTGTCCAGATGTCAGTAGCAATGGGCAGTCAGTACCCGTGGGCTAATCTCATGAAAAAAGAAATCTCTAACTCCTGCTAGGAAAGTGGTGGGTGTAACTTTTGATATAGGAGTTCTGAGTGTCAGAGGGGAAGGGGGCTGGGCATTTTGCTGTTCAGGGACAGACTTTTAGTTAAACCCATTTTCATGCTTCATTCCTGACCTCATCTATGCCGAATGTCTAGAGCTCAGAGGTCCTCTGGTCAAACTTTCTTTTTCTTTTCTTTTTTTTTTAAGATTTTATTTATTTATTTGAGAGAGCGAGTGAGAGAGAGCACGAGCAGCGGGGAGAGGCAGAGGGAGAGGGAGAAGGAGACTCCCCACTGAGCAGGGAGCCCGATGGGGGACTCGATCCCAGGA